TTCGGAAATAGCGTCAGCATGAATGTTCCAGTAAAGCCAATCAAAAGTTTGTCAAGAGAAATGCGCCGTCACCTTTTGGTGGAATCGACCTTCGAATCTCTGTACCACTCGAAATGGAAGTAAGCACAACAATTATGAGACAAGAGACTCCTCGAAACCCAACTTTTATTCGCAAATAGACAATAGCATATACAGAAACATGATACAACATTAGATTATTGTACGCTTATTCAGGAAAGGAATAGGCTGCCACCGAACCCACTTTCGGTTCGTGAGCTGACTTTATTCCTCTGCAAGAATTTAGAGTAACTTTGAGGTCGTCAACGAAGTTATTGGAAGCATAATTAAGATCGCAAGGTTAGGTATAAAAAGAAGCGATTAGAGTTGCAGCAGGCCACCTTTTCTACTGGTTTTCTATATTTCTTGCGCTATTTCGCAAAGTATGCTTTTTTGCTCTAAGTATGTCTGTCACGGTGGTACAGACAGAAACTTTGCACAGGTTCCTCGAGGTCGCAGGACGGTGGACCAAATACTTCTTTGCCTAATCCAATATTCTTCACTTCGATGAAATCATACTCCGGTTTCCGGTAAGATCGTTTCACCAATTCCTTCCAGGCAACTTTCCATTCGAAATGGAAAGACATTTCGCCATGTTATCAAGACTGTTACTTTTGCTGGCTTCTTGTTACCTGCTAAATAGTTAAGACACTATAATCGCCGAAGCATGAATGAAACAAATGGGGCTGTAGGGCTCTAAACTATAAGGGATAGCGCATGAATGTGTCCGCGTGACCTGCACAAATGGTTAGAATTATCTACAAAACTGGATGTGATTGAAGCAAATATCAGAGCTTTTTAAAATTCGTTTTTGAACAACTGATTTCTTTAAAAATTGGATACCTAAGTAAAATCATGACATGATAAAATGCTTCTAAAAATCCACATTTTTATTTTTTTCTTTAATATGCGATGCTAATTTTATTCAAACCCAATGATTAATTGCCATCTTACAATTGATAGGAAGACTTTCATTTCGTATGTAAATACTTGATGAAGAGATTCGTAAGTCAATCTCGCCAGAAGACGTTGGTTGATTCGTGTTGTACTGTAGCCGTTTTTCGCATTTATACGGCGTTCCGGTTGATGTGGTCCACCAGACATCATCCCACGTTTCGAGCAAAGACGGGCTGAGCATTCATTGGTCGGAGCTTGGACTGATTCTTGTCAAAGCTGCAAGTTAACCTTTAGTTACTAAGACAGATCGGTTTTTTTCTACATCTTATACATACTGATTACGAGACAAAATTTGATTTATATATGCATATAGCAAGGTTTGTTTAATTCACGTATACTGGAGTGTGTCTGTGTGTCTATGTGGGGCAACGTGTGTGCCGTAAACGGATCATAGTTCAGAGTAATTAGAAAAAGGCTTAATATCAGCCCCGAGTCATCAAGGCTTGATGACTCAATAAAAAAGGAAAGAAGGATGACCGAGCTTACGTTAGTCCATTAGTAACCCAGGTAGGTGTGAACGTTTGGTTACGAAACCATAAGTCCGAATACGTAAGTTTAGTTTATTAGGGTTTGATGAGTCAAAGAGAAGCTCGATTGGAATTGCAAAGCCCAACACGTCTGTTTTGGTCGAAAAGCTTGACATGTCTGTTTAGCCAGTGTGATTTTGGTTGGAACAATCACTCAGCTGACAAACTGAGTCGTCTTCTTTCGAATGGCGGCACAAAAGACTTGATCTTTCAATATTTCTGTCAAAAATAAGTAATTATAGAAGTTATTTGACCTTGTTTTCGCAACTTGGTCATACTGGTAGGAAGACTTAGAGGAACGCACCTAGTCCGGAGTCCGTTGTATGTATGATCATTCCCAAATTTGGACTGTGGACGTGATACATTCTTGACCGTCCTTTTAGCTGGCCTCGTCAGTGAGTCTCGCCATTCGTAGCACCATATCACAACTCGTCAAAGAGACAAGTGAAGCTGATCCTTTGACCAAACGTTTGCTAAACAGTTGTGGTATCTCCCCATATGCCCTGGGCTATTCACATTTCCTATATCCTCCTATCACGCCTTCACTGTTATAATTTTTACCGTGACGACTAAGATGCCGGCTGAACGTCTAAGAATGTACCACGTCCACGGTCCGAATTTGGAAATGCTTATGCATACAATAGACTTCGGACTAGGTGCGTTCCTCTCAATCTTCCTACCAATGTGACCAAGTTGCGAAAACAAGGTCAAACAAGCTCTATATGCAATTCCTACTCAACTTTCTACCACTGTTCCTCACATTCTACGTATTTTCTAAGCAATTAATTTCAATGGCATCTATTATCTTTCTTTTAACCACAGACGTACCATATTCAGTAAACCTACTAGCTTGAGACCATTCTATTTCATGTCCAGTTTCTACAATGTGTTTGGCCACTTCTGACTGTTGGACTCAGCTTCCTTTACAAGCATTTTTGTGTTCTTCCAATCTTTTTTCGGATATTCTTCTTGTCCTAGTGTTAACGTGAGACTTTTACAGGAAGTACACCCAGCTTTGATGATGTCCATGCTATGATAGACGGAAGCTCAGCCCGCTTTCACCCGAAACGAGGGAGGATGACTTGTTGACTGCGTAAACATAAACGTCGTATAAAAGCTAAATGGCTTCGGTACAACGGAATTCATCCGTCCTCTTCTGGTGAGATCGACCTATGAATCCCTTTTTCATGCACTTTCATACAAAATTAAATTCCCCTCTACCCAACCAAACTAAAGGCTGCATTAAGGTGAATTTCTTAATTGGTAAGAATGACTAGACTTTTTCTATGGCAGGCAAATTTTGTTAGGAGGATTTCATTAATTGGCCTCGTCTGAACCCGGATTTTCACTGGGGGAAGTGTTTTTGATTGTGTGAAGAATTCCCCTATTTACTGTTCTGCCACCACAATAATCATGCGTTGAAATTCTGTCGATCATGTGACAGAAATCGTCCGAGAAAGAGAAAAGCCATATTTTACGGAAAAATGATACCAATTTACTAAACAAAGAGGAAAAGGAGCAGATTGCAAATCTATTTACTTCTTGAAATAAATTTTATTATTTTAATAAGACCGGCTCTGATTTGTTCGGTTACTTAAGGCTTACCTTATATGCTTGCAGTTGAGTAATGTTATTGCACGAAAAGGAAATGAATCTTTTTATAGATGGCTGCCTAAGCAAATAAATAAAGATTGGACGTCAAGACGATGAATTATGCTTACGCATGTGATATTGCGCATAGTATACATGCAACGTTCAGACAAGGTCGTGAATGCCGTCCACTCTAGATGAAGCAACCATTTGGCAAAGTGAAATTCAATGGAAACGTGATGCCTATTCATATAATTGAGGAAAATTTAAATATCAGTCATTTATCGCATTATGCGGCTACGGTAACTAGAACTCTTATTCCTAATTTATTGATAGCCTCAGGAAACTACTTTATCAGAATATAAATAAAGTAGTCTCATTGATATTCCCAAATTAAATTGGGATTTGAAGGATGTCTTGTTCTCCTTGAACTTCACGTTTTCCCTGTGAGCCAGGGCAATTGTGACAGTGTAGGTTAGCTGCAAACTATACCTTGAATTACCCTGGTTCGGTTATTGTCTAGGTTGGTGACAAGACCGAAAAATACGTCGAGACATAAGTCAACTGAGAATGAGATTAACTTTTTTGAGGTAAGTCCAAATGAAATTTACTGACAATGTGAAAGCTAAGGTGTATTCACTCTATTTCGCTTAAGATGGTAAAGGGACTGGTATTTGAATTTTACAACAATCATATGAGTTTCTATTGCATTTTACATAGCCTTGCTTTGTCAAAAGATATTCTCATTCATGTTGGACTGAACTGCTGTGGTAACCCAATCTGAACTGGTCTCATCTGCCCCCCTCTCAGCGAGGCTCAGACCATGAGAGTGCAGCGTGTAATCTCGACACCTTAACAACTAAGCTACATTGCCACGAATGCCCTTTGATGGCAAGACAGATGCCCATTTCAAGGAAAGCCAGGCATTTTTTTCCCATATCACATTCTGTGTTGGGATTGCGAATGAAGCAGAGTTATATTTGCTATAGCAATCGACAATATTTTTTATATTTCGTAGATATTAAAACCAAGATGTTCGCAGTCTCCTTTCGATGTGTGGAAGGGGTCTGAATCAGTTTTCGCGATATAATTTTGTTTCAGAGGGGCCTAGTTGGAAGCACTTCGTCTGACGTCCCCTACTATAGTATTTATCATTATTTCCAGCGTTGGACCGTGTACATGCTACATTTCCAAACGTTTCGTAGGTCTTGTAGTAGTCACCGTCCGTGAGTCTAACCACTCTCAGTAGCAAGCTACAACTTGTCAAAAAGACAAGCGAAGTCAATCCGTTGCCACACTTTCTACTGAGAAGAATGTGCTACTACTCCTCTTTTTGTCCCGGTCCATTTATCTACTTCTCATCCCAGGCGAAACGTTCCATCGTTGGGAGTGATAATAACTACTATAACATAGGACGTCGGATAACATGCACCCAACTAGGTCACCCTGACAACACGATCAAGTTGCGAAAAAAGGTAAGACTATTTCTTTACTTATATCCAGCTTATAAGTAGGTTTTCTAGACTATTAGTATATGCTATGCTGCACTATCATGATTCTAATCCCGCTGGGGGTGCTGATGAGAACAATTCATACGAGGTCGAAAGTGCAGTCCAGTCCAGCCAGGTTGAGAATACTTTTTGGGAAAAAAGGCTATATGAAATCCAATGTTAACATGAGACCTACTCACAGTATTGTGGGTTACCACCTTACGCGAAATGAGATGAATACACATCATGTCTATGGTAGTGTTGAAAACCTACTTATGAACGAATTACGAAACCTGTTCTTATCCTATTTTGATGAGTACAATTCTTATTCAAGATTTGCCGATAGCCTTGAGACCTACTTGCTGTTAATATGTTCATGCTAGTTTATAAAATGTAAAATGGCTTCTGGGCCTTCAGAGCATAGTTGCCTACCGCGTCCTGGGGTGCCTGTCTGCTCCATCAGATTAGCTAAGAGTACATCATTCGAGTAGATGTCGAACCGAAAGCGCTGGTTTCCGAGAATGGCAGCATTCACCCGCCCGGTATGCACACCGACACGAATGTCGATCTGGCTCTCGTTCTCAAATCCAGACGGTCCGACAATACTTCGAGACTGTCTGCCAGTGAATCGGCCATTTAGTTGTTTCGACTGACGTCTGACTGCCTCTGCCGGCTGGCTCGTCTCCTCCCTTCTTGCGGACACAACGACAGACGTTGACATCTCTTCCTCGCCCGACTTCTGCTCCCTGGCGATCACCTCGTGGTAGGCCTTCATCACTCCGCACAGGCCAATGCCCATGTCAAGGCAACAGGCAGCCGAATTGTGACGTGGCTCCAACAGACCAGACACGCAATAATAACAATCACCAAGAGTACCAATCTTCTCGCAACCCGTCGCCTGACAGATGTCGTCGAACCGGGAGAACAGGTGATTCAACAGCTGAACAATCTCGGTGGCCGAACGCTCCGAACTGAAGGCCGTGAAGCCAACAA